ACCGAAGGATCGTAACCTTGTGGTGGAGTTTGTGTGTTCTAATTACCCTCAGAGCTATCTCACCTGGAGTATTGTGCTCCTGGTAGGGTCTCCCTGGGCGAATAGGTCTGAGGGGAGGGTCCAGACAAATAACGGTGCAAACAAAAGCCCCTTACGAATGGTTTGTAAATATTCAAATCAGAGAACCTCTCCCGGACAAGGTACACCAGGACACCCCCCTGGAGCCAGTCCTGGGGGTGGTGTTCGCCGGCAAGCGCCTGGTGACCCACATAACCTGGTCGGGCCCAACCCGCAATGGCTACGTGGCGCCGTCCTGTGGGCCCACCAGCCGCAGGACGGTGTGGCCGGTACGATGCCAGTATGGCAGGGAGAGGAATGGTCTCGGGCGGACTGAACTTTTGCAATCGACACGAGCTAATGGGACGTGGAATGTCACGTCACTGGGGGGGAAGGAGCCGGAGCTGGTGAAGGAGGTGGAAAGGTACCAACTAGATATAGTTGGTCTTACCTCCTCACACAGCATTGGCACTGGAACCAAACTTCTCAATCGGGGGTGGTCTCTCTCCTATTCCAGAATAACCCCTGGTGAGAGGCCCCGGGCTGGTGTGGGGATACTCACAAGCCCCTGGCTGGGTGTTGTTCAGTTGGAGTTGTCCCAGTGTATGAGAGTGTCACCTCAATGAAAACTCTGACTGTTGTATGTGCTTATGCACCAAACAGCAGTTCAGAGTATTCGGCCTTCTTGAAGATGGTGGGTGCAGTGCTCGATAGAGTACCGTCTACTGACTCCACAGTCTTACTGGGCGATTTCAATGCTCACGTGGGAAACGATGGAGATACCTGGAGAGGCGTGATTGGGAGGAATAACCCCCCTGATCTGAGCCCGAACGGTGAGATGTTATTGGAATTATGCAATAATAAACACCATGTTCGAGCACAAGGATGCTCATAAGTGTACTTGGTACCAAATCACCTTGGGCTGAAGGTCAATAATTGACTTTATAGTTGTATCATCGGACCTGAGGCTGTATGTTCTGGATACTTCGATGAAGAGAGGGGCAGAGCTGTCAACTGAAGTTGGATCCAACGCTTGGGGCACCGACAAGATATATGAGGAAGGCCCAAACGAATAGTGCAGGTTGTCTGGGAACGTCTGAAAGAAGACCCAATGCAGAAAGATTTCAACTTCCACCTCCTGGAAAACTTATCCTACACTCCAGGGGAGGTTATGGACATTGAGTCCGAGTGGACGATGATCAGGACATCGATTGTCGATGCAGCTGCGAAAAGCTGTGGCCTGAAGGCAGCTGGTACCTGTCATGGCGACAACCCCAGGACCCACTGGTGGACACCAGTGGTGAGGGAAGCTGTCAAGTTGAAGGAGGCTTTCCGAGCTATGATTGGAAAAAGGTCTCCCGACTCAATTGAGATGGACCGGCTTGCCAAGAGGGCGGCAGCGGTAGCAGTTGCTGAAGCAAAAACCCGGGCGTGGGAGGGGTTTAGAGAGGCCATGGAGAGGGACTACCAGGCAGCCTCAAAGATCTTCTTACAAACCATGCGACACCTTAGGAGGTGTCGACGGGATGTGGCTCAGGCTGTTCTCAGTAAGGGTGGCATAGCATTTAACAACTAAGGAGATAGTCTCTAAATTTAAGGTCATGGTTCACTCCCGGGAGACGGTGGAGTGTGCTGTCCAGGTGAGGGGGGAACAGGTGCCCTTAGTGGAGGAGTTTAAGTACCTCGGGGCCTCTTTCGCGAGTGATGGCAAGTGGAAGATCAGCTGGCGGATCGGTGTGGTATCCGCAGTGATGCGAGCGCCGTACCCTTCCATGGTAGTGAAGATTTACGACCTCGGATTACAGGCCGATCTGCGTTTCCACCCTCACCTATGCTCATAAGCTTTGGGTAATGACCGAAAGAAGATCGCGGGAACAAGGGACCGAAATGAGGTTTCTCCGCAGAGTTGCAGGGCTCACTCTCCGTGATCGGGTGATAAGCTCGGTAATCCGGGAGAGCCTCAGTCGACCCGCTGCTCCTCTGGATCGAGAGGAGCCAGTTGAGGTAGTTCGGGCACCTTGTAAGGATGCCCCCACGGTAGACTCCCCCTGGAACTCTACCGGGCAGCACGTCCCACTGGGCAAAGACCCCGGGGCCGGCACAGGACACGCTGGCGGGACTGTCACTCGGCTGGTCTGGGAACTCCTGGGAATTCCCCAGGGACGTCTGGACACTCTACTCACCATGCTGCCGCCGTAACCCTCACCAGGGCAAGCAGATTGGGGAATGAGCGAACGAACAATTCCTCCAAGCCGTGTTGAGACGTTACAGTCCATGCATTTACATTGTATTGTTCTTATGCATTTGCTAATACAGCGGTAAGCTTATGCCTATGGCCAAATCACGCGGAGTGACCCCGATCTCGTCAGATCTTGGCATCTAAGCTGGTTTGAGCCTGGATCGTGATTGGATGTGCGAACCCCCATGCATGAAGCAGGTGTTGCAGATTGCTGTGGGGCTACCTTGACAGAAGTGGCTAGTGTATCAAATCCCTTGTGCTGCACTCTGCACCGCCTATTCCCGCCGACTTCACTCACTTACAATGATCAGCGTGGGTGCCGTATGGTCATATTTAACCCACCAACGATCCAATTGACAAAGTGGTTACACATGCGCATACACCGCTGATGTGACTCATTGAGTCAATACTGGTCCAGGGATTTTCTTAAACAATAGCTGCTTGAAAACATTGGTCCACAAAGCCGATAGGCTAACGGATTACTAGAATTGCTAAATGCATTTTTAGGTGACATGTCGTTGCATGTTTGTTTACTGTTTGTTGTAAAACGAATGCAGCAGTTGCGGTATCATGGCTACTTGTGGTTTGTGTCCACAGCGGTGCAATCTGCGTCGCTGTGTTTATTAAAAGATGGAGATGATGTTACGGCACACCGTGTCCCCCTGTCCCCACTGTCTCTGTCGCTAATAATAATCACGCACGGGCAGGCGCGTGAGAGTAGTCACCGCGGTGGCACCAGCCCTGGCGGACCCACAGGCAAGGCTGCTGCTGGCACAGAGGGCCCATGCCAAATGAACATGTACACCCTAGCAGGGATGTGCGTCAGCGCTGTGGGTACGTGGCCTTGGAAACCTTACATTGGTCTTGTTGGGCCACTTCAGTAACGGAGTGTCTTCTGATTAATACCTCAACTGACAGTGCATTGATCCCAGATTGCAATTTCAGGAAGGGGCAGTGTGCCATACCTGGCAGATGCCCGACTGAACAGCTGTCTTATTTCTGACGGACTGAGGCCACGTGGCCTCCTGAAACCTAACACATACCCAACCGAGTAAATGGCAGCAGTACCAGACAGTACATGGACTTTCGGTCCATGGGCAAAAACAAAATAATAACTTAAGTTGCTGAGAAAAGTACGAAGGTATAATTTTTCGTCCGCAATAAATGTGAATTAGTATTACGTGAAAATGTCAAGCTATGTTTATAGGCCATTCAGACACACGAGCAATGAGTGAGACTTTGAAGGATCCGCTTTGAATAATGACTGGAGCCCTCGTGTCAATGCACTGCTGGACGAGGGCCTCCCCACGCCGTGCAGGTCGTGAGGGTTATTTGACCATACTTGACGATGATCAGTCGGGGCTGAAGGGGGGATAGCCTATGGAGCAAAGAGGTACAGTACAACACGGGATTGTATTGCAGTGCTCACAAAGTAGCCCCGCAGCAGCATATAGCACCACATATACACATTCCGTAACTTATTGGACGCTGTGCTGTGTGTGCACGGGACACTCTATAATAAGTTAATTGCTCCCAGCACAGGTGGTGGTACTGCCGCTGAGTGATGGTCAACGCACTGGACTTGCAATCCAGAGGTCGCCATCCAGGTTCACTCTCCCAATGAACGACGTTTCTCACCCCGCATCTCTGTCCACCCAGCAGCAGTGTAAGTGGGCACAACCACAGTGGAGGCTAAAGTGTGGGTACTCACACGTGTTTACAAATGTTTGTCATCATTAAAGAGTACAGTAGGCTGAAAACTCTCTTACAGTGGAGATCTTCCCGACAGCAGCGGCGTGAGCGAGAAATTGCAGGGCTGCGCCTTTACCACCTTTTATAGAGTGAATGATTTTGGATTCATGATCAGAGTTTAAGAATGAGAATAAAATGCTTACACATTAGCCTATACAACATACACACTGGATGCGTGTACAGGACTTTTATAAAACTCTTAACAGTGGGCGGTAAGTCTCGATACCATTACCCGCAACGCACATTTATGGACTAAATAAACTGCAACTACCAACCCAACTTCTGTAATCAAACCAACATGCATGTCTTTATTATCACATAGGCAAGGAGTTAACAAAAAATCCACAGTGATCCTTTCCAAGGGGACGCGAGACTTGTTCGCCGTATTCAATGTGACCTTTGCAGTCCATCGGGAATCGCGTAACTTCGAGGGAGGAGGAGGAGGCGGCTGGTGGTGGTGGTGGTGCGGGGTTATTGTCAGGGCCGGAGTCGGCAGGCGCACGAGGGGGCGAGCGACTCCGACTCCGCCATGTTAGGCCGGGGCCGGCTGGGCGCTCCAACAACGCGCGGCGTCACCCAACAGCGACGCCGCCGTCACAACGCCCCCCCCCCAACTCACCCTCCTCGCCTCACCCCCTCCCTCGCCAGCCCCCTCCCTCGCCCCTGCCCCTCCCTCGTTCTCCCCCCGCCGTCCCTCGCACCCCCCCCCCCGACGTCCCCCCCCCCGACGTCCCCCCCCCCGACGTCCCCCCCCCCCCGACGTCCCCCCCCCCCGACGCCCCCCCCCGACGTCCCCCCCCGACGTCCCCCCCCCCCGACGTCCCCCCCCCCGACGTCCCCCCCCCCGACGTCCCCCCCCCCCGACGTCCCCCCCCCCGACGTCCCCCCCCCCCCATTGAAGCCACCAGGGAAAGCTTCCCCCTAGCAAGATGGCCGCGACCACGGCCTGTGGCGAGCTGCGTGCTGCAGTAACCCGGATGTAGTGCGGCCTAGGGGAACTTGCAGCGAGGCCGTGGGGTCGAGGCGGCGGCGGCGGTGTTGGTGGCGTTCGTTCGCTCGCTCGCTTCGGGCGGGGGGGGGTTTCCTTTCTTCTCTGTTTTGTTTTGTGTCTGTCACCCACCCCCACAGCTCGCTTCGCCTTTGTCGGGACGCGTTCGCGGCTCGTCTCGTGAAGAACCTCGCTCGCTCGCTCTGCGTTGGCGTGCACGGACGGGGCCCGTGAGCGGCAGGGCGCGCGCGCGCGCGGTTCCACCATGAGCATGCACGGCAAGAGGAAGGAGATCTACAAGTACGAGGCGCCCTGGACGGTCTACGCCATGAACTGGAGCGTCAGGCCCGACAAGCGCTTTCGCCTGGCGCTCGGCAGCTTCGTGGAGGAGTACAACAACAAAGTACAGGTGAGGAGGAGTGGCGGGTGGCGGGGGGTGGGCGCCCTTCGGTTATCGTCATCATTTTCCCGTGGACTAACCGCGGCAGGATGAAGGGCCCGCGCTTGTTTGACCATACTTCACCGCGCTGGTAAAGTGCGGGGAGGGAGGGAGGGAGAGAGAGGATGGGTGGGTGGGTCAAGAAGTCGAAGCGACCGTCCGCTTGGGACGTTCGCTCGCCGCTGAGGGGAATCCGTGGCGGGGAGTCGAGCTCGCGTCGCGACCGAGGGAGATCGCGTCGCGACCGAGGGAGATCGCTTTCTTTCGCGACCACCGATTCATCCCCAACATTCGCTTTAGTCTCCGCCGTCCGTGCGTGAAAATCAAATCGTTTAGCTCGTCGGCCTTTTTGGGTTTGGCCATCCCATGTCTTCACCCAGCGAGCTATTGTTTAACTCACTCCGACTAACTCCGCATAGGTTTCGCTCTTCCGGATCTCATCAGCAACACAATAAAATTTGGATTTAGAGAGCGCCAAGATGCTGTACAGAAACAGTGGCCAAATTGTCCACGTAGAGGCAGTCGGTCGGAGTAACAAGGACGCTCTTGAGCCTGGGACTAGGAACACAACGGGCAAAGAGAGTTGCCAGACTACGGCGTGAGCCGAGGAGAATGACCGACCTCCCTCGCCGATATTCAAAAGCAAATTCGCTAAAGCAATACCGCTGGTTCTAGATTTGAAGCTTTCGTGACTGCAAGGATCCATACTCTTTGGTTATATTCGGTAAAGTCACATAGGTAAAAAATAAAACAACAAAAATCACGCTGGTTTCACCAGGTATCGATAGCCAGGTGAGCGCCCGCTGAAATGGGCTCTTGTTAAAGGGAGAGCCCAGTGTAACGATTCGTGGATCACGTGAACCGAATATATACGATTTTAATCAAAATCTATTATTCTAATTGGCTTTCTATGGGTGCTCTTTGGTGTCCGCCCACATACCCACACACTCATGAGTGGAATTTCAGAATTGGAATATTTATCCTGGAGAAATCCGATGAGCTATGAAGCTCTTTTATTTTTTTTACAGATGACAAGCATAGCCAGAGCCCTGAGACTCTATGTAAATACTGACATCCCTTGATATATAACGGAACCGATACGCACCTGCAAAGTATATCGGAATCATTTTGCCATGTGACAAATCACGTATTGTATAGGTCATAGGGAAAATAGGGTTCGATAAACAGAATTTTGTTTTTTTACGAGCCACTTTTCAGGAACGTATCTGTTCTCGTATGTCGAGGGATGTTCGGAATTCGAGATGCGTTCCTATGGAATGAAGCAAGACCCCAAGATACAATAAAATCATACTGAATGCAGCAAACCTTTTAAAATAAAAAAATGTAATGGTAAACCCATCATTTTTGGTAAAATAATACTGTACTCAAGATAAGTCGCAAAATAAAAATGTATACCGTGCAATACTTGACACAAACTGATGCATTGCCATAAATCACCCCCCCCCCCCAAAAGAACAAAAAATAATTAGCGATCCAAAATCCCGTAAGTGCAAATTTAATGCAACGTATATCTAATTCCTTCTGTAATTTATAAGTAACGTTTTATCGAAATTCCTTTTATTGAGTTGCCGAATAACGAGACATGAACTGTCATAAGCCATTTTTATGACTCCAATTGTATGCATGTATTGTGAGCTGACCTGGATAAACAAATGACAAATCCACAGTTAAATTTGGGCCACAGCCTCACATTACAAATGTAAAAAAAATAAAAGATAGTAAAATGTGATCAAATATATAAAAAAACACGCGGCAAATTTCAGAGTTGAAATTCTAACCGGTAGAGAAACAAACTTCATATATTAGGCAGTCAAAGTAAAACAGCAATTCAGTGTTATGTTTTAATAGCAATGTAATAATTTACCAATATGATATGTAAAATTAGGTGTTAAGTATTGTTCAAGAAAAATGCTAATTTGTCTACCAGAACTGACGAGGGAATTGTTACGTAAGAGATGCAATATTTTTCCAAGTATGAGGGTCATTATTGTCGAAAGAACAATGTCCAAATTTAGTATTTACTCTTAGAAATAACAGAAATATTGAGTCATGAAGGGGCATGAATTTGCAGGTGGTTGGGCTGGATGAAGAGAGCTCTGAGTTTGTGTGCAAGAGCACCTTCGACCACCCGTACCCCACCACAAAAGTGATGTGGATTCCCGACACCAAAGGCGTCTTCCCGGATCTGGTGGCAACGAGCGGCGACTACCTGCGTGTGTGGCGGGTGAGGCATCTTTTTCTGCACAGAGGTCCCATCCACCGATGTCCCTTTAACAAACACAGGTCTCTCAGTCTCGGTCATCAAGTCTACTCCACCAACATCTTTATTGGTCTCATCAAAGTAAGGTCTCATCCACAAAGGTCTTGTCCACCAAGGTCTGTTAACTAATTGTCTCCATTTAAGTCCTTGTCAGTCTCTCTAAAGTGCTTCCACCGAAAGAGTAATGTCTCTTTTTAGATGATCTCATAAACAGAGGTCTGTTCTTTCCATAGAGGTGTCTTAAGGCTCTCCACCAAGATCATCCTTGCTCTGTCACCTATCTCATTCAGTCATGATCACTGTCTTTTTGCAATTGTGGCTATGATTCAATGACTCCCATGGGACTCGGGCACTGATTTGAGTTCGGACGTTGAACACTCTAGCATAGACACTTACTTGGCTTAGACACCAGCTGACACCTTAACCGATCACTCATCCTGACCGGCCATTTACATAACCTAGAGGCTTACCCATCCCAGTAGCTTGTCCAGCCCAAACACTCAATCATTCCAGTCTCTCACCTAGGCCAGCCAACCAGCCCAGACCAGACAGTTTTTTCCCTCTACCTATGATCTCTAACACTACGCATTTTTTTACTTTTACTCAGTGGAGTGAACTTAATGGCAAACTTGAAATATAATATTTTACTTACAAAGCCACATTAACCACCGGTCATAATTTAATTTGCCAATCTTTCTCAAGTGCTGCCAAGTGTGTGAGGGAAAGAGGAATGACGTCTTTAGCTGCCAATTGTGCCACACCACCTGCCTTTTGTTCCTAGGTGAGCGACTCAGAGACCCGGCTGGAGTGTCTGCTCAACAACAACAAGAACTCGGACTTCTGTGCACCCTTGACGTCCTTTGACTGGAATGAAGTCGATCCAAATCTTCTTGGTATGTTTATTCATTTTTATTTGTAAATACAAAACCTCAATGGTACTTTGTTGTATAAAAATATTACTTGAAGTCACTCTTCGGACCTAATGAAATAAGTCCTTGTCAGATTAAACTGTTGCACAGTATGGCATGGTCTTCTGATTTTTCAAGTACCCCAAATAATGTGTACGACCCAGTTATTGAATACTGTTAAGTGATTTTTCAATTATGGCATATGCTGAATTCACCAAAAGTGTTCTTTTAAAGGTTTCTAAGCTGCAATTTCTCACATTTAATAATGTGCATTGTTGTTGGCTTTTATTTTTAGGCACATCCAGCATCGACACGACTTGCACCATCTGGGGGCTTGAGACTGGCCAGGTGCTAGGTCGCGTGAACCTGGTGTCAGGCCATGTCAAGACGCAGCTCATCGCTCATGACAAAGAGGTCTGCACCCTCCTCACAAGGGACCCTAAAGTCACTAATTTCAGTGCATGGCGGTGCAGTTGGCAAAGTGTGCCCAACAATCGATGGCAATTTAGAGGCATATAATGATTAATAGATTGCAATGGTTTATTATTTGTGTGAGGTTGTATGATTAAAAGTTCATGCAAGATAAATGCATATTGTTTGCAAACATTACCTTTAGCCTAATGGGCATAATGAGACAAAACAATACAGACAGTACTGACAAGATAGTAAAAATAAGACATTTATACTGAATTGTTTACCTCCAATTGTGGCGATTTATCGTACCATAGATGGGAGTGAATCATTACCTGCCTAATAGATTCCAGATTGCAATGTTGAAAAAAAACCACTATCGTATAAATGAGTGACCTTAAAAACCTGCAAGTTAACGAGACATTGCTCGGTATTGCGGGAGTGCAGGTGTATGACATCGCATTCAGCCGGGCAGGCGGTGGGCGCGATATGTTTGCGTCCGTGGGCGCCGATGGCTCCGTGCGCATGTTCGACCTGCGCCACTTGGAGCACAGTACCATCATCTACGAGGATCCGCAGCACCGGCCCCTCCTGCGGCTCTGCTGGAACAAGCAGGACCCCAACTACCTGGCTACCATGGCCATGGATGGCCTTGAGGTGCTCCACGCGTGTTTGTGGCCATGGGTGTAAATTTTCGTAGCAGCCGAACTGTGGGTCACTTGGCAAGTGTGTGTGTTCCTGTCTGGACATGTATGCACTTCACACCATATGCATCTCAACGGTATTGACAAGGCACTTGTTTTATATATGAGTTTAGTACATCCTTTCCACATGCATGTTCATGCTGTTCCAAAATACCATAACCTTTGAACAACGTCGAGCATTGCAAATATCTGTTTGCACTCCAGTTAGTGTGCAGTGGTGTCATTAACATGCGCGTGTCTTGGTGCTGTGCGTGTAGGTCATAATTTTGGACGTGCGCGTGCCCTGCACACCGGTCGCACGACTAAACAACCACCGTGCATGTGTGAACGGCATTGCCTGGGCCCCACACTCCTCTTGCCACATCTGCACAGCTGGTAGGTGCACACGAACACACACACACCTGCACAACTAAGATGCTCGCAAACATCTGCATATGGCTAGGGCCGCCGAGAGGGTGGGGCGACAGATGGGGCATTTGTCCTGGTCCTCAGATCTAAGGGGCCCTCCGATTTAGCCAAGGAACTCTGAGGGATCCTCAAGGCGTAGGGAACCTCATCGGGTCTCCAAAGTCTGTTGGTGGACCCACTTATGCAACACAAGCATGTGAAAAAGTGCCATTTATTTATTATAACAGTGATGTTCTTTGTCATCTTTGTCCCTGTGCATGCTGCAGCTGATGACCACCAAGCGCTGATCTGGGACATCCAGCAGATGCCCCGCGCCATTGAGGACCCCATCCTGGCCTACACGGCTGAGGGAGAGATAAATAACGTGCAATGGGCTTCCACGCAGCCTGACTGGATCGCTATCTGCTATAACAACTGTCTGGAAATCCTGCGTGTTTGAGTGGAGCGATGTTGGAGGTTTGATGGCTGCAGAGTACATGGGGCAAATGTTTTGGGAAAAATTGTTGACTGCGCGGTGTAGAGGTGTGGGTGGGTGAGTGTGTGGCTGTTCATTGGTAGTGTTTCTCGAGATGGACAGGAGGGCTATTCATGGTGACGCAGCGAGGAGCTGATCGCACTGTGAAGGCATTGAATTTTGGTTAGTGGCATTTTCTTCCGGCACGTTTTGGCAGTGGTTTAATGGATTACAGTGACTATCGTCGTGTGCCATCTGGTCACAATTGTGTGACAATGCCCAAAGGTGTTTGCACCCAGACGTTCTTCAAATTTCAGGAGCATTTGAATTGGTAACGCCTTCTGGTCTATGAATTGTATGGTTTAGAAGCTATTGATATTTCATTTAGGTAAATGATTTTCAATTTTAAGAAATGAGGAAATCCAAAAGTTGAAAAAAGTAGCTGATGGTGACAGCCATGTCTTTTTGGGTTCACATATATACGGCATATTTAATATAAATAGCATTTTATCACCCTATTTATTTAAATATGTTGACTGTTGATTTAAAGCTTTCGTGACTGCAGGGATTCATATTCTTGGTTCTTTCGGTAAAGTCACGTAGAAGGGAAACAATTTTGTTTTTTATTGTTTTCCTTCTACGTGACTTTACCGAAAGAACCAAGAATATGTTGACTGTGTTTGACACATTGACCCTGAAAAGTATGAACTGCCACATTAGGCTTAATCTTATTTGAATTATTATTAAATGCAAGTGTCATTACTGTCAGAGGAACAAAGCCTTGTGTTTTTAAAAGTGCTATGAGATAAGCATTTTTATTATTTCCATTATTTTGGTCTAGACAACTTGCAGCTCATTTGCCGCGATTTTTATTTCAGCCTTTTCTTTACTTAAATTGCTGTAATTGTGACAGTTTATTATCGTAATGCTACACACTGGGTCGAAATGAGTGCCACATTGATGAGCCCGACCCATTGTAAATGTGGTGCTGATGTGCAGTGTGGGTCACTTAAATGGTGGCAGATTTCTTGCAAAAAAGACATTGCCAATGCCTTCCTATCAATCCATTTCAAATCCTGTCTCCCTGGTAACAGTTCTACTAAGGAGTGTTTCCCATCTTGCTGATGCAGTTAAACTGGATAGTCAATAAATTATAGGCTGTGGTGGCTTTACCTATTGTAGAGTTGCATTGCAGCTTTGTGAAAGTGTAGGTTGTAGTGTCCTGTCTTTTGGCTCGGTGTGTTTCAGAACTGCGGTTACAATGATCAAGGCTTTGCATTCAGCACTGTCGTTTTTTGTGCTCTAGGTTTTAAAAAGAGTAGTCTTCAGTTAGTGGTGATAGTTCCTTTGTTTCAGTTGCAATCTTGAGTTATAAAATAACACTGTTAAAATGTGTCCAACAGTGCAGGGAAGAGGTAAATTAAAACTGATGTGTACAGTGGTTAAATCTGTCTTGTGCAAGCTGGCCTTATTCTTAGGGACCATCCAGACGTACTCTGTGAACTGATAGTACTTAGTAGTGTGTGAATACATTTTTTGTATCTGGGAAGGTGGTGGGTGCTGTGTCAGCATAGCTTGAACCATTGCATATATTGTCACCTCTCAATTTAAAAAAAATTAAGCCAAACTTTCTTTGGTCAGAAAAATTTATTAATTTAAAAACACAATAAAAATGATTAAAGTTGTGTCTTGGTTAAACCTAAAATGTAAAACCTGAAAACATACTTGTGTCGTCGTGGGCAGGATGCAGTGTTCTCTTACGTTTTTGTTGTGTAATTTCTGTCAGTCACATGAAAGGTCGCATGTTCAGTGAGCAGCATCTGCACTGATTTAAGAAATAAGATTGCTTCGTACTATACATTAGAAAATAACTGTTGTGTTTTGAATACCAACAACATAATTTTCTATATAACATTCACAAATGTCAATCAGTACACCTTTATTCGTGTTCTTAGACTGGAGTGCATGCCAAAATGATATTTTGCATTATTGTCTTTGCACCGGTTATGAACATTCGTCCTCTAAGCTGATAATTTAGAACAACCTTTCCTCAACTACAGCCTTCAGGACCAGCTTTCAACTCTCGTTTAATCTTAACCACTCGACACACTCGTCGTGCACGTGCATGTGGATTTAAATTAATTTGGAAATCTTGTTTAGGGTGTGCATGTAAAATGGGCCATCAACTCTAAAGTAGTTGATTTCAAAAAAAATAAGCAATGTCAAATGCGTGTTGGTACGCCGGTGTGTCCGTTCAACCTCACATTCTGTGTTCGTGCATCGTACATTGAGAATGCTTCCAAAACATTTTAGGAGTCGCCATTGTTCACGTCAGGTCAAAGTCGGCAGTGTCTTATCTACAATATACTGTAGCTACTGGTAATATGTATATGGTTTGTTTTGTACTGTAAATAGTAGTCCTGTAGTAATATTTTAAATCTTGTAGGATATGCATTGAGGTTTGATAGTGTACCAGAGCTTTCATGTATTTCCAAAAAAAAACGTAATCACTTTGTGCTGCAATGCTGATTGTGAGCTATTTTTAAATAGTTAGCATATTTAGAGGGTTTCAGTTTACGTTTTACATTGAGTATTTTACCGAGCTTCATCGTAATTTTTGTAAGCAAAACTTTGTTATATGGGAAGAATTCCTCAAGTAATTAATATTTTGTTATTGGGCTTCCTCAAGCATTGGGAATGCAGTTTTGTTTTTGCAGAATAACAACAAGGAAACTGGTTTAGCACGGAAATTATATAAAGCCTGTAATGTATGCATGCCATTTGTATCGGTGCATTACAACAAAGACGCTTGTTTTTCACTCCGTTTTTCCTAAATATTATTAGTTGTGAAGGTTTAATTGTATTGTAGCTTGAATTAAGGCATTCACAAGTTCTTCATTAGGTGAGGCCATCTAATCAAAATCCGTGATTTATATCAAGCAGGAAGTTGTTTCAAAGGCCTGGGATTGTATATCTGTTTTGAAATATAAAAGGAAAGTGCAAACAAAAGTTTGATGGCAAATTTTGTCCTAAAAATAAAATAGTCCTTTGTGTTGATGCTGTTTTGTACAAAGCATGAAGACACCAAGTTAAGGCAGCAGTTTACTAAACTTAAACATGACATGTTCAATGTTATTTAATCATAAACTTTAACATGACATTTTTATTAATCGGATGACCCTAAACTTTAACATGAGATGCTCGGTGTTGTTTAACCCTAAACTTGAACATGGCATATTCATATTCAATTGACCTGAAGCTTGAACATGGTATTTTCTTTGCCATGGAACCCTAAACTTGAACATGACATTGCCATTGTAATTTGACCCTAAACTTGAACACAACATTTTGTTATTTGATCTTTGAGTGTGGTTTGGTGGCCATGCACGATGCGACACTGCTTGCATCTACAAGTTTTTATTACAACCTGCGGTAGAATAAAATACAAGTTGTACGCAATCTTCGCATAACCAGCCTTATACGCTTTTGTTCCAAATCTATGCTCAAGTTTGTAGTATGTTACACTCATCATTTATCAAGTTAGTGTAGTATTGTAGAGTAATTTTTTATGCTTTATGAATTGTACACTTGCAAGTTTTCAGTAGTCCCTATCGTGAAAACATGGACATTTTAATGAAATTATTTTGGGAAATGATTTTGTCTTGTTAAAATATTTACATTGTTTTTGTGTAGCAAACATCCTTGTGTGGTGTTACACTTATATGGATTTGTCAGACTTGTTATTTGTTTAATGTATGATGGTTTTGTTGTAAAATAAAAGAAGTACTCATCAAGCTCTTGTCTTGCGATGTCACTTTTCCTTGTGGGAAGAATGAAAAATCTCAACAGAAAATGAAAGTGCAACTGGTGATCACAATGTATCCTGTATCTCCTCATGCTCTGCTTCATTTAATGCTGCTTTAAAAGTAACCAGAATCTTTTAGTTCAATAACAAGTTAACGGCAAGGTGTTTAGGAGTGCTTCGTTATTACTGCATAGGTAATTGAGAAATTCCACGTAACATTTTCGACCCGCAAAAATAAAATTGACATGCCTAAAAATCGACTTACCTATGTCGTTTTCTACCAAACTGAACTCTTGCAATGTGTTTTGGCTTGGGGTCTATGTATTGCAGATAATTGGGAAATTTCATGTAACATTTTTGACCCGCAAAAATACAAATCGTCATACTAACATGTCATTATTGGCCAAATTTGGCACCTTATTTTTCTATGAAAAGTGAACTTGCAATGTGTTTAGGCTTGGGGTGCCACATGAAAGGAAATTGGGAAATTCCACGGAAAACTTTAATCCCGCAAAAACGACATTTCCTCTGGTTCTTGCGGTAAGGTCACGTAGATAGAACAAATAAAAGGACACGACGTTTCGGTTGCAACACAAGCTCTGATGTGGCTTTCTGTAGGCACGGGAGGGGGGGGGGTGGAGTTTGTAGAGTCGTGGCTGCAGGAGTTCACGGGGAAGAAGGGGAGGGTTTGTGGTGTGCCGGGGCGGGTGGGGGCTGGAGAAATTAGCATGTCAATGAGCTTGAATTAGCAAACGAAAACAGCACGGGTGGGTGAGTGAAAATCACAGCAGTTAAAACTTGGCGTGGTTTATCACGTTCTTCCAATGATTAAGCTTTCGTCAAGTTTTAACTGCTGTGATTTTCACTCACCCACCCGTGCTGTTTTCGTTGACTAATTCAAGCTCATTGACATGCTAATTTCTCCAGCCCCCACCCGCCCCTGCACGCCACGAACCCTCCCCCTCTTCCCCGTGAACTCCTGCAGCCACGACTCTACAAAACCCCTCCCCCCATCCCCCGTGCCAATATAAAGTCACAACAGCAGATATTTACTTCTCACCTGATGACGGACGCTTGTGTTGCGACCGAAACGTCGTGTTCTTTTATTATTTTTTCTATCTACGTGACTTTACTGAAAGAACCAGAGAGTATGGATTCCTGCAGTCACGAAAGCTTCAAATCAAGATTCTAACCTATGCCGTTATTGGCCAAATTTGGCCCAATTTTTCGCACCTTAATTTTATATAAAAAGTGAACTCTTGCAATGTGTTTAGGCTTAGGGTGCCACGTTAAAGGAAATTGGGAAATTCGATGTAAAATTTTCAACTAGCAAAAAATCGACATACTAACCTATGTTGTTATTGGCTAAATTTGGCCCTATTTTTTGCACCTGATTTTTCTATAAAAAGCGAAAATTTTCAACGTTTTTAGAGTTAGGGTGGCCACAAGAAAGTAAATTGGGAAATTCCACTTAAAATTATCGCTCCGAAATGTTTTTATCGAAGTGTCGTTTTTGTCCAAAGTTGGCCCAATTTTCGCACCTTATTTTTCAAGAAAAAGTTCACTCTTGCAATGTGTTTAGGCTTAGGGTGCCACATATTAAAGGAAAGTGGGAAATCCCATGTGAAAATTTTCGAACCCGCAAAAAAAAATGACATACTAACCTGTGCCATTATTGGCCAGATTTGGCCCAATTTTTTGCACCTTGTTTTCCTTTGAAAAGTGAACTCTTGCAATGTGTTTAGGCTTAGGGTGCCACATATGAAAGGAAATTGGGAAATCTTACTTTAAAATATCGACCTGCAAAAATACAAATCGACATACTAACCTGTGCCGTTTTTCGCCAAATTTGGCCCCATTTTTGGCACCTTATTTTTCAATAAAAGTTCACTCTTGCAATGTGTTTAGGCTTAGGGTGCCACATATAAAAGTAAATTGGGAAATTCCACTTAAAACTTTCGACCCGCAAAAATACAAATCGACATACCTTATTTTGCTATAAAAAGTGAACTCTTGCAATGTGTTTAGGCTTAGCGTGCCACGTATTAAAAGAAAGTGGGAAAATCCATTTGAAAAATTTCGACCCGCAAAAATCAAATCGACATACTAAACTGTGCCGTTATTGGCCAAATTTGGCCCCATTTTTTGCACCTTATTTTTCAATAAAGAGTTCACTCTTGCAATGTGTTTAGGCTTAGAGTGCCACATTTGAAAGGAAATTGGGAAATTCCACTTAAAATTTTCGACCCGCAAAAATACAAATCGACATAATAACCTTTGCCGTTATTGGACAAATTTGGCCCCATTTGTCGCACCTTATTTTTCAATAAAAAGTTCACTCTTGCAATGTGTTTAGGCTTAGGGTGCCACATATTAAAGGAAAGTGGGAAATCCCATGTGAAAATTTTCGACCCACAAAAATAAAAAAATGACATACTAACCTATGCTGTTTATTGGCCAAATTTGGCCCAAGTTTTTGCACCTTATTTTCCTATAAAAAGTGAACTCTTGCAATGTGTTTTCGCTTAGGGTGCCACATGTGAAAGGAAATTGGGAAATCCTACTTAAAACTATCGACCCGCAAAAATACAAATCGACATACTAACCTGTGCCGTTATTGGCCCAATTTGGTCCCATTTTTCGCATCTTATTTTTCAATAAAAAGTTCACTCTTGCAATGTGTTTAGACGTAGGGTGCCACATATTAAAGGAAAGTGGGAAATTCCATGTGAAAATTTTCGACCCGCAAAAAAAATTACATACTAACCTGTGCCGTTATTGGCCAGATTTGGCCCAATTTTTTGCACCTTGTTTTCCTATGAAAAGTGAACTTTTGCAACGTGTTTAGGCTTAGGGTGCCACATATGAAAGGAAATTGGGAAATCCTACTTAAAACTATCGACCCGCAAAAATACAAATGGACATACTAACCTGTGCCGTTTTTTGCCAAATTTCGCCCCATTTTTGGCACCTTATTTTTCAATAAAAAGTTCACTCTGGCAATGTGTTTAGGCTTAGGGTGCCACATATTAAAGGAAAGTGGGAAATCCCATGTGAAAATTTTCGAACCCGCAAAAAAAAATGACATACTAACCTGTGCCGTTATTGGCCAGATTTGGCCCAATTTTTTGCACCTTGTTTTCCTTTGAAAAGTGAACTCTTGCAATGTGTTTAGGCTTAGGGTGCCACATATGAAAGGAAATTGGGAAATCTTACTTTAAAATATCGACCCGCAAAAATACAAATCGACATACTAACCTGTGCCGTTTTTCGCCAAATTTGGCCCCATTTTTGGCACCTTATTTTTCAATAAAAGTTCACTCTTGCAATGTGTTTAGGCTTAGGGTGCCACATATAAAAGTAAATTGGGAAATTCCACTTAAAACTTTCGACCCGCAAAAATACAAATCGACATACCTTATTTTGCTATAAAAAGTGAACTCTTGCAATGTGTTTAGGCTTAGCGTGCCACGTATTAAAAGAAAGTGGGAAAATCCATTTGAAAAATTTCGACCCGCAAAAATCAAATCGACATACTAAACTGTGCCGTTATTGGCCAAATTTGGCCCCATTTTTTGCACCTTATTTTTCAATAAAGAGTTCACTCTTGCAATGTGTTTAGGCTTAGAGTGCCACATTTGAAAGGAAATTGGGAAATTCCACTTAAAATTTTCGACCCGCAAAAATACAAATCGACATCCTAACCTGTGCCGTTATTGGACAAATTTGGCCCCATTTGTCGCACCTTATTTTTCAATAAAAAGTTCACTCTTGCAATGTGTTTAGGCTTAGGGTGCCACATATTAAAGGAAAGTGGGAAATCCCACGTGAAAATTTTCGACCCACAAAAATAAAAAAATGACATACTAACCTATGGTGTTTATTGGCCAAATTTGGCCCAAGTTTTTGCACCTTATTTTCCTATAAAAAGTGAACTCTTGCAATGTGTTTTCGCTTAGGGTGCCACATGTGAAAGGAAATTGGGAAATCCTACTTAAAACTATCGACCCGCAAAAATACAAATCGACATACTAACCTGTGCCGTTATTGGCCCAATTTGGTCCCATTTTTCGCATCTTATTTTTCAATAGAAAGTTCACTCTTGCAATGTGTTTAGACGTAGGGTGCCACATATTAAAGGAAAGTGGGAAATTCCATGTGAAAATTTTCGACCCGCAAAAAAAATTACATACTAACCTGTGCTGTTATTGGCCAGATTTGGCCCAATTTTTTGCACCTTGTTTTCCTATGAAAAGTGAACTTTTGCAACGTGTTTAGGCTTAGGGTGCCACATATGAAAGGAAATTGGGAAATCCTACTTAAAACTATCGACCCGCAAAAATACAAATGGACATACTAACCTGTGCCGTTTTTTGCCAAATTTGGCCCCATTTTTGGCACCTTATTTTTCAATAAAAAGTTCACTCTTGCAATGTGTTTAGGCTTAGGGTGCCACATATTAAAGGAAAGTGGGAAATTGCATGTTAAAAATTTCGACCCGCAAAAAAACATAACATACTAACCTGTGCCGTTATTGGCCAAATTTGGCCAAATTTTTTTGCACCTTATTTTCCTATGAAAAGTGAACTCTTGCAATGTGTTTAGGCTTAGGGTACCACATATGAAAGGAAATTGGGAAATTCCACTTAAAACTTTCGACCCGCAAAAATACAAATCGACATACCTTATTTTCCTACAAAAAGTGAACTCTTGCAATGCGTTTAGGCTTAGCACGCCACGTATTAAAAGAAAGTGGGAAAATCCATTTGCAAATTTTCGACCCGCAAAAATCAAATCGACAGACTAACCTGTGCCGTATTTGGTCAAATTTGGACCCATTTTTCGCACCTTATTTTTTAATAAACAGTTCACTCTTGCAATGTATTTAGGCATAGGGTGCCACATTTGAAAGAAAATTGGGAAATTCCACTTAAAATTTTCGACCCGCAAAAATACAAATCGACATACTAACCTGTGCCGTTATTGGAC